TTAACAAAATGTTTTCTGAAAGAACATAAATGGTTTTGGCTCAAATACTCTTCGCCGGGCGGGATTTTATGTTGCAGCAGTACTGGCACCAGCTAACGGATCAAATTAGCGATTTGCTTTTGCAAACGCCACATAAGGATATGTGGCCATCTAATTGTAGGTCTCCAGCCTTGGATCCGGTGGGCAGGCAGTATGTTTTTCTGCTCATCGCAGTCTGGACGGATCGAAAATGGCGCTTGAGAGGGAGTGGAAGAAGAATGATGTTAACTATTTACCTGCGTCCCACTGCGGATGCTTCCACAAGAGAATCCGCCTAGGTCAAATAAGCGTTTAATCCCTCCGAGGTCGGTTAACTGGAACCACACTCGTAAGGGAGGATAAAAGCACTGACTTGTACATCGGCTGGCCACTGCAAGTCATTTTATAGCTCACGCATGCATTCATTACGCCACATGATTATGGAAAGCGAATCCTTTAGACAGGATTGAATAGCGTCAACAATTTTATCCTCGTTTGTGGGTGTTCACGGTTCACGGTGCAGGTGCAGACGAATAATGTTCTGTTAGTCTTGTAGGTCACGTCATGCATCGGTAAAGCACTAAAAGAAGAAAATTATGAATTTTTCCATTGTATTAAAGTGAATATTGTGGATATTTCAAGGTAGAGTTGGAGAGGGTGGCCCGAAGTTGTCGGCAAACTGTGACTGGTTGTGAGTACTACTGCACATTAGACTCAATATACTGTGCATCTGATGTGTTATCTCCGGAAAGTGACATGATTTCATCATTATTACTGAATTTCATCAAAATCCGACTCGTTAGTCCAAGATGGTCGCTAATCCTATGCATGACGCCATTGCGCACTTACATGACGCTGGCGACCCCCATACCTAATCGCGAAGAAGCTCTCCGTCCACGACCAAAGCGTCTATAGGACTCTCAAGAGGTACTACGAGACTGGTATGACTGCCGACCGGGGAGACGGGCATTAGGAACGGTTTTCTGTAGTCGTTTCGCCGCACGCGGTTTTCGCGGGCCATTCGTTCCCGTTATTACAGCTCTAGCGTTCTTCATACAGCATAACCGATATGCTATCCTTATTTTAGTCATGTTTCTACTGTTAGTTCCCTTGTTCCTGTATTTCTTACCTGCTGCTGCTTTCTGCTCCATTCCTTCGCGCGACGTCCCTCCCGCCGCGACGCGACAATTTCGTTCCTACTGCACCACACCCCTGCCGACCGTCCTCGATCTGGAAGACAACGCACAGCAACGGTTTCTGCGATCCAAAGAGCCGTCAAGAAGCGCATCGACAAGAGTTCTCGTCGCAGCAATTGACCAAGGGGCCAAAGATCTCTTGACACTCCATAGGAAGGTTGCTACACAACCACTTTGAGCTCTATCCTTGTAAGATCGGAAGATGCCATGGCTTTACGGGGAGGAATAAGGTCGTTTGGTCGCAAAGTGCTGGGCTATGCTTGCTCGGACCGCCCCAGTGCAGCACCTGGTGACCGTCTTCTCCGACGGTAAGCTGTTCACCGTGGGTGCAGCGGCGAAAGCGCAAAATATGTGGGTGCTCCCATCCCCTCACCAGGTCGATTCCAGGGACTGAGTCGTCTCTTGGATCTCTCACGCTACCAATGTTATGGTATGGGCAGGAGTGGGCGCCGGCGGGAAAGCTCCGCTCGTCTTCGCCGATCCCGTGTGGAGGTCGACACGGACCACTACATCAAGCAATCTTGAAGAAGGCGCTCTTGCCTTGGAGCTAGACACACTTCGAAAACAAGCACTGGGTTTTCCAGCAAGACTCCGCGCCCGCGCACAAGTCGCGGAGAACCTGAGCGGCCAAGCTGTTGGCCTTCATACCTGCCAAAGAATGGCACTCCAACTAGCCCAATCTCAACCCAATGGACTACTTGTTGTGATCGGTGCTCAAGCAGAAGGCCTGCTCCACTATACACAAGAGTATCGACACGCTCAAGTTAGCTTTGAAGAAGACGTGGGATGATATCGACACTAAATACCTCCAGTCCGTCATCGACTCGTACCTAAACGTTTGAAGGCTGCCGTGAAGGCCAAAGGGGACCGCATCGAGTGATCACTTTCAATTTCAATTCGCATAAATAGTAATTACTATGTGCCAAGCCTGGTTGGTTTTGGTTGAGTATTCAGGAAGATAATTGGTCTTTTCTATGTGACAATTTTTCGGTCCACCCTGTACATTATCATAATGTGCGGAAGAAACTGGTGTAGAGACTAACGCTGCTCAGCTTGTGACCGCATAATTCTAACCGATAAAGTGATAGGACGTTACAATTGACATCAGATAGGAGGATACAGGATATTGAGGTGAGTAGTCTATGGCTTCCTGCCTTTGTCGTTTAGGATGCAGTGGCTGTTTTATCTAAACGTCCAGAGGTGTTTTTTGTCTTGAACTTGTAATTGGCATGGCACCGAGGGTTTTCTGTTGGCTGTCCCACTCAGGAACTTTGCTGCGTGGACGTAAGTTGACAAATGTCTGCAGGGTCCACGCTAGGAGGCTTCCGAGAAGGAATTTCGGTCAGCTAGCAGCACTATACCGGAGTAGACAAAGGGTTATTGGGTATTACAAAGGGCCCTGCACTTTGCCTAACGTGCTTTCGAAAAAAATGGGATTTCAAGGTTTATGTGAAACTATCACGTAGGCTTGCAGGTTTGCCAGTTAAGCTTGAGTCAAGCAGCCTCGGAACCAACAAAGAACCGAGAAGGAGGAAAGTCAGTGGTCAAACCAGATCTAAGAACAAGCATTCACATTGGCAGCGCCAACATATACACTTCGGAACTCTTTACAAGCCCAGTTCAGAACCAAGAAAGTAAGGAACGAACGTGGAAGAGATGTAGAGGACACACCCGCAAAGAAAAGAGCGTAATCAAAGAATCGTAGAATTCAGCAGTGTGTGATGAGCTGATCATAAATGATATGGAAACCCTAGCACAGATGGCGAAGAACGTCTTAGAAATAAGTTGAACAGGAAGTCCCTGTTTTGGAGCAGCAAGGTGCTATAAGGTTTATGAAGAGGACCAAAGGATGTAAGGGAGGTGATTGCCAACGGGGCAGCTGCAGTGCTATGAAGATCTTGTATAGGGATAAGCATGGCACCGAAGCTACCTGCAGATGTTGGCGTGGGAAAATGGAGAAATCAACATCGGGGAAAATTGTCAAAAACTGAGACAGATAGGTAAACTGATCCTCGATTTCGCGATATCGATTAAAATTAACCTGTTTCAACAGTCTATTTGCAAGAAGCCTGCGACGAACGACGCGTTACGATATTAAACGAAAGCATTCGAGAAAGCTACCAGAACGCAGCAGCAAGTAAGAAATACAGGAACGAAAGAACTAACAATGGAATCATGCCTGAAAGAATGATCGCATATCGATTGGGCTGTATGAAGAACGCTAGAGTTGTAATAACGATGTAGCGAATGGTACGCGACAGCCGCATGCGGCGAATCGATCACACGAAACGATCCTACTGCCCGTTTCCCAGCAAAGAAAAAGCAACTAACGAGAGACGACTATAGTAACGATAAGGCGTTAACAGAGCTAGCGATTCTTGACGAGTCGTGGACAAATCCTCAGTCTCGAATGGGACTCAAACCTGTACTTGTGCTTTCCGGGCACCACGCTTTATCCCTTACACTACCGAGACCCCTCACCTTCTTAATGATCTTGATCCCAGAGCTTATCATCACTTACACGTACAACGTGGTGAGCCGGTCAACCTATATCAGCATTATCCGTTAGGCTGAAAGCTTTTCTTGTTATAACTTGTTTTGACTTGATGTCAAAACTGATTCTTGATTTTTTGTGCCAATGTACTACCTGTAACGTTACCGAGCGAAGCTCAAACCTGTAATGTTACCTACAGAAGCCCAAAAATGGAGATTGAGCGATACTGGAACTTAGTGGAGCTATTGTTGACACTTCATATAAGCTGCAGTGGTACGGTAAGCAGATGAATCACAAGATTGTCAGGTTATGAGAGGGCAAACCCAAGAAGAGGAACTAGAATATATGAATAAGCTGTGTTTGCGAGAAAAAAAATCATTGGTGGAAAACAATGATTTATTGAAATATTGCTTTGTAAAGTGTGCATTGGCAGTAACGCCGTACTTGCTAACTTAACTCTTAACCCCTACCCCCCTCCCCCCATCGCCCCTCGCCTTTCACCTTACCTTTACGTTCATGCTGTTTTGTTCGTGTCTCGATAAAACGGGATAATCGACAATGACAACATCTTTTAGAATTGGAGCAAGCTGCTTTGAACAACGATTTGTAAGAAGACGTTACTGTGTTTCACTTAGTACTGTTACGTATTTTTGCAGCTACGATGTTCTCTATAATCGCTGTTTCTCAAATCAAGCACTCAAGGATTTGGTTTCTTGTTGCAATATTCCTCCGAACAACGCTCATCAGAGGCAAATGAAAAATCATCATTCTCATCAGTTTCCGTTTCCGAGAATGTTAGAATTACTTCGAGTCGATTAAAGTTTATAAAGGGTACTAAGGTGAGTTTTCTTGCATCGATTCTTGGTATGTCACTGGTCTAGAGCTTAGACATGCCTTAATTTCCATGACGGAGCGTGTATCTGATGAAACCAATGTTGTTCTTTCTGGAGCAATGATGTAGAAAAAGTGTTTTATAAATACTATAGTGAGACCTTCAAGACAGCCACCTTGCCAGTTGCACTTTCATAATCCTACTCCTACTCCACACTCCGGTAACACTTTCATACTCCTACTGCTTGGATGAAACCGGATGAAAAGGGAGAGAGGTTGAGAGACCAAAATGAAATGATCCAAATCATAAGGACGGTCTTTTTCTTCAACTCATCAAAACTTCGACTTTATTGTAACAGCATAAGTAAGCGTCCTTTTCAGCGATCACAACAGTCGATCAAAAACGATCACTTTCCGTAAACAAAAAGGTTCGAATCCATCAAAAGTAATTTTTGAAAGAATCAATATTGCTTAAGAACTTTGGCAGCATTTGGGAGACCTAGTTGTACGTGCTTCAGCATTTTCTTGACCCTCCGATGACTGAAATAGAAGGCCAAATAAGTCACATACACGGATAAATTTCTATAAGATAAAAAAACAAAACTCTGGTTGCCTACCTGTGCATTACCCCGAAAATTCCGAAAACTGCAAGAAGCAAATTAGCTGCCGCAGACCCAATGAAATACCAGAACCAAGAAGTATTCGATTTCTCACATCCTTGTGGACATACGTAATTGTGCATAGTAAAAGTCTCGGCCTGCAGAAGTTAGTAATCATATAATTCAAAAAAAAACATGTAAACATCCACACAACGGCACTCATAGAAGGATAATGGGGAATATAATGGGGAATGAAAATGAACAGGCGGTAATCCTTCTATGCAGAGACCGTCATTTGCCATTAATAAACGGCTATTTCCTACAAGCTAGAATTTTTAACTGTTCAATACTACCATGTAATCCTAGTAAAAAGAGAATTCATCTCACGACTTTTATTAGAATATTATAATCTTCAGAACTCACCATAACGTTGTGGACAAGAGCTTCAACTATTGGTTTGGCATCGTCGGCTGAAAAAAGCCCTTTTTCATCTTCAGTGGCATCAGGTTCAACCTAAAACTCAACCTATCAAACTATTGTGACAGGGAAATTTGGCTAACCAGTTGAGCCGTGCAAAGGTACTGCTTGATAAGAGCGAAAACCCTGTGCTCGGGTTCATCATAGCGGAATAGAACGAGAATTGGTAATCAGTGGAATTCAAGCATTGCTCGAAATCCAGCGTGTAGATTAGATCCAATCCATCCAGACAATGTAGCGATAAAGGCCAAATAGCTACTCATTTCTCTATCACGCCCTACAAACACCTTTTGGTTGTGGTTCAGTAGAATAGTCCAAAAATAATGATCGCGAATCGCTCGAGCTGTACGAAAAACGCTAGAACTGCACCAACGAGGCAACTAGTCCGCTGCAGCCGCGTGCGGCGAATCGACTACCCTAAAATCCCATAGATGAGAGCGGTTTAATTTACCGGTGAAAAATGAATTGGAATGAAATTGAAATTGAATGCAGTCACCCCTCTAACTTGATGGATGGATAAATAAAAATCGGAGAAGAAGTTTAGAAGAAGCTCCGCCCCTCAACTCTAAACCCCGCCCACTTGATAAACAATTCATATAGAAAAATAGCGATCCGTTAAAATCGCTTAAATCAAACCCTCTTATCTATGGGATTTTAGGGTACATATAACTAATTGAATGGTCTGTCTCCTACACCATCTTCCCTGTAATCACGATTTGGCGAGAAAATTCAATCCTTTTTATTTTAACCCACACCCTTTTGTATTTGCCTCAGCCAGCGCGACGTCCATTTGGAAGTTTTCATTTGTCAAAATTCAGGTGAAAAGGAAGACTAATGCAGAGACTCACTGTATTCATAACATCAAGTGTTGTAGACACCAACTGTTGTTCAGTAGGAGGCACACTGTTAGGAGTACGTGAGACGAAATTTAGCTGAAAATTGTGTGCTCAAAGACTACCTCAAGAGAAATCGTTTGTTTGGATGATATGCACTTGTATCGTCTGGGGATTGTAAAGCTACCAGGAAATTACAATGAAATTGACACGAAAATTTTCGGTTCATCGTTTTGATTGTAACCCGTTTTTGTTGGCATTTTTCAGGAAATTGGCTTGGAAAAAAAACGAGGGAGCTCTCCACTCAAACCGGTTCCACTATTCATTACGTATTTGCTCACCATCATAAGATCAAGACCAAAATGGAGCATCCACACCACTACCTTTGAGTAGCGAGCTATACAACGCGCTAGGTGTCTGCTTGTTTGTCTGTCTGTGTGTGTATTTGTGTCTGGGTATGTTTGTGTGGGCATGTCTGTATGTGTGTATGTGCGCGCGTATGTGTGTACGCGTGTGTGTTTGACAGCAAAATTCATAACTTCTGCTCTCTTATATCAGGGCGTTTACAGTTCGTAGGTATGCGGACGGCAGGTCAACTTCAACACAAAAAAGGGAGGGGAGCCCGGCGCCGGGGCGGTTCACCTGGTACTACCCAAAAGTAATAATGTAATGTAGTAATGTAGTAATGAGCTTTTCATTACTAGCGCATGTTAACTAAAGTTCAAAACCCTTCCAAAAGACAGAAAGATAATGAAGTTTTTGAAGTGCATGCAACAAATATGAAAGGTCAGTTCAAGAAAGTTCATTTGACTACTACGAGTTGAATTGGACAAATTGTACACCACTTCAAAATAGAGGGGATTTATGTCTATAAAATCAGATGAAATCACTTTTGAAGCCTTTGAAAAAATCTTCAGACTCTTAGAAATGATTCCTTCGAATAACTGAAGTTTCTTCTATCATTTTTCTAGCGTTCAGAACAGGATTGATATTTTACAGCAACAAAATACCATTTCAAAAACTTACACAGCCGCTCATAAGCTGCTCTAATGCTGGTTTAACCACAGTCAACCGAGATAAATTGTTACGGTAGGTAGAAATAGGACTTATTGAGGGCTTGGGGTGAATTTTGTGAATTACGAGACTTAATCATACCTGCGATGCAATGTAGTTCCTCATAATACCAAATAGTGTGCGCTCAAAATACTGAAGCGTTTTATTGAAACAGGAGAGATCCTGTAAAGAAATCAGTATAAACACGAAAGAGATGACTTAGGGAGCAGTAGATCCTAACCTCATCGTTAGTCACAGAGCAATGTGATGAGCAGCCGGTTGTGGTATCATTGAGGTAGTCACAGTGTCCGCTCACACAAAGGCTCAGAATACCACACAAAATCTGCACTCGAGTCCAGTAAATATAGATACATAGTCACAAATAAGTAAACAAAACAGTTTGAAAGGGTTTTCACGAACAACAGCGGGGGATTTCGAAAAGAATTGTCGGTATCTTAGCGATATTAAACATTTCCCAGGATACCAGACGTTTGCATAGGAACGATTACTGGTCATACTTCCTCGATTCCAGGATTCCAACCCAATCACAATACACGCTCAGTAAAGGTTGCATGTGACAGGGATGTGACCTGGATTTTTCCTGACAGACAAGATAGCTTTTTATGTGGAAATGGCAGTATGCATTCATTTCGGTTTTTCGTAGGAAGGGGTATACAATCCATTGCATCACAAGATACTCTCTGTAAGAAAGCCACGGTTTACATGGAAGAAGTCTATTCCCACCACTACGCTTGAAAAGGACAGTAGTAAAAGGATACAGACACCTACCAGTATCATGGTGCTGAGGTATAGCAAGTGGTTAGTATTGATTGATCTCGATTGGTGACACGCAGACCAAGGGAATAGCACGCTTTTTCCAGCGTTGTTATCAGAGTCGCGTGAACTGTTTGCAAACGTGTCATTTTGAGGTCAGCATGAGGTTATGACCGCTTATCTGCGTTTTCTTATGAAAGTTTTTCTGAGATGCTCGTATAAGGAAGAGGAGCTAGTTAATGGCGATTTGTTAGAATGTATGGTCTACTCGCTTGAAAACCAGATCACGGCTGCATTGATTACGAAGACGCTGTCGAGTATCCATGCCAGAGTTACGAGGTTTTGATCTTGGCCCGGCCCACCTCGGTGCGAGCTCCGCCCATTCTGGACATTTCACCACATGCTTTCCACAACTTAGAATTTTTTTTCACACTATAGAACCTGTTCAACAGAGAATATGCACTTTTAAAAGTAGCTGCTACTTGAATATTCCTCGCTCATCGTGAGCTGTCTTCGCTAGATTTTCGCATGCCTAGCACACATAACGCCTTGCCCCTCCTTCGACCCTTTTTTCTAGTCTCCAAGCTTTCATTGGATTAAGTTGTGAATAGATGTGAAAAATGCCGCCCAGTCGAGAACGCTCCTCCCACCGCGGGTGAATCTCAATCATTTCATTTGTTAACATCTACCATCATTGACTCATCGCCATCTATGCTAGCTGAATCAAAAACGTTCTTGACTCCTTTCTTTTGAAGGTTTGATGGCCCTGTGATTGGAAGAACCAAATAAGGTTGAACTGTGATTAAACGCAGGGAACTTACGAACTCACGATTCATTACGCCAACTGAGACATCCAGAAACTCAAAATCTTCATGGTCCCGTATGTTTAGCGAAAATAGTACGGTGTTCTTACTATATATAAACCACAGGATTGGTGATTCTGTTTGTTTAACTGCCTGCCTGCGTGTTTGTTTGCTTGTTTATTTGTTCCACTGTGACTCAATTTGGTATCACAGAAAGGGCAACCTGAAGAGATCGGGTTAAGTTCGGGATGTGTGAGGTTAGATTAACATGACACATAGAATGAGTGGTGTTAAGAGTAAAGTTACTTATTTTGGCTTCCAACAAAGCCCAGTCACCGGGAAGCAAGGTTAGGATTGGGTCAATAAATCAGTGTTAAGAGACTCATCTACAGTGGGAACAGCGTTCTCAAAGGTGGCAGTTTTTCTATGTTTATTCGTAACTTTGTTCCACAAAAACCAGAGAAGATGAGAAAAAATTTTAGCAGTGAGCAAGTTCAAGAATGATATGCGTGAGTAAACTTGCCGAAGCTTTACGGTTTGCGAAGGATCTCTGTTCCTTAATATGGGAGGTTCTTCTTATAAAATTTTATTTCTTCATACGAAAACAGTCTAGAATTTGGAAAAAAGTTGTTCTAGTTTATTAAGAGAAGAGGGGCCAATTCTAAGCAGTAGGCGGGGTGGCGGGCACCGACGTCGGCAGAGCTATGAATGCACAGCCATAACTCTGCTTAAAATAGTCCGCTAACTGGAAAAAATGGGCAAAGAATGTCGATGGAAAAACTGGTATATGCTGATAGGCAGAGCTATGACCAAAATTCCCTAACTCTGTCCAATACGTTCAGCAGTCCGGAAGAAGCGATTGTAGGCTATCGAGGGAATGAGGTCAGGCTCCGTGATTCTACCGAACTCCACCAAACCCTAATATGCACCTCAAAGTCCGTCCACGAAACCCTCTGATACCAGTTTTGTGATTTGATTTTTGAGCTGTGCAACCGAGATTGTAACAATACTTTATTAGGATGACGTTTCGGTGCTTTCACCCCCCTGCTTTCAGCCTGGAAAGACAAAAGCCATTTGAAAACCATTCGGTCAATTATTGGGTTGTAACATAAGTTCGTAGAAGTTTGCGTTAGAGTT